TTTTATGTTTTCTAGACTTAGATGCGTGCAGGTATTTACGTGATAAACTAATAGTAATATAACATCCGGTTATACTGTTTTCATGTAAATCCCGCCACTCTAGGTGTGTCTTAAGTTGGAATGATGATTAAATCATATTAGTAACGTCATGAAATAGATATGAGAAAGTAGTTTATATCTACACGACGTGCATTTTCCAAGTGGATTTGAATCTGTTCGGACCGAAAGCTTAGTGGATAGGAGGAGATAGGGCCGAGGTGTTGGATAAATGGCCTCGAGACTATTGCTTTTACTTGGTCTTTTAGTGCTGTTACAGCCTTTGTGGGGTTTCCCTCGGCCTGGTAAGGAACACAGGTTATTGTTGAGGGCATCATGTTTGGCTTTCGTCAATTAGGTTTTTGACTGATGCGACGATCAGTGGAGTGACCTCAAAGAGTCTAAGCATAAAGTTCACTTCAAATTATAGTATCTCCCTTAATCCGACTTGAATTTTTTTTGGCTTCCTTAGCTTATTGCATTCTGCTAAATTTATTTTATTTTGTTTCATCTTATTTTTCTTTTAATAAATTTTTAAAAGAGATATCGCATATTGGCCGTTGTTGTAAATTCAAAAGAAATGACATCTGCAGTTTGAAGATCTTCGAGTTGAAGCCCAAAAAAAATCTCCTTAGATACTTGTTGGAAACAAAGTGTGATGTTAAATGCCAATTAGATTAAAGACCGACGTTTGCTTGCCTCAGAGATTATTGATATTCCAAGAGACGGCTGAGTTATTTTTGTGACCAAGTGGCTCCTTCTGGAATGAAGATGAACAAAAAAATATCGTTACTGATTTGGAAATCGTTATAAACTAACAATGTCTGTTTTAGGTCTGGTATAGAAGGGTGAAATTTAAAAATACCTAATACACGCTGGAAAACGGTCTTTTGAGACAATTTAGGTTGAAATTTCGCAAATACAGCTCGATGATCAAACTAATCGAGCTAAAGTTATTATGAGCCCACTCCTTGAACTTTGGATGAAAAAGTTGACACTTATTAACGGATAGACTGTTTTATACGAAGTTACAACAACCACATTTTCTAGTTACTTATTATAATAAAGTTCGGATATAACACGCGCTGTCATTGGTTGAAAGAGCGTGCTCTATGAGAGTATAGAGCATAGAGCTGAGCTAAAGCTGTCACGTCATCTGCCAATTGTACTATAGTCGAGTTTTTCCGGGACTTCTTTTTAGCTTTTTTCCGATAATTGAAAGCGAAATTTCGGAACTGAAGCAAGCCGACAAGTAGCAATAAAAGAATCAAACAAAGGTTTGTAAACATACCTGGCGCTGTAATTTACGTTATTAAAACGTGAGCTGATACGAAAATCCTCAAAGGAAAAACAAAATAAACATTCCGAGTTTTAAAGATTCTCACGCTCAGTTAGATTGCAAGCTTACGTACGGTAATAAAAATCAAATACAGCTAACACTCGTATAGTATATAAAGTTCAGTGTTCAAAAACAAAACAGAACAAAACAGAAATGATGAAAAATTTAACCAAACTGGCATAATTATTAAAATTTATACTAATCGTGACGGTGTCTGAGCGAATATGATCATGCTGAAGTTCATCGCGGCTCGCTCATCATGGTGATCTCTGGTCATCACAGTAAAGCAAGCCTCAGAAACTACATCGGCCACCCTTCGAGTGAAAAAATAAGAGCTTGCTCTGATATCCTTTCCGATACGTTGAGTGGAAAGTCACATCAGTCACTGCAGCCGAGTTTTGCGGCGCTGTCATCCCGAGCGATCTTCATGTTCCGGTGAATTCGGCTGTCGTTCACTCAAAAAACACTCGCCTTGAACAGTTTATTTTCTACCTTGTCGTGTGAAAAAACTGGCGTGTTTTTATGAGCCATAATTCGGCTGAAGTTCA